ATGTTGCTATTCAAACCTATTATTAATTAGGGTTTAAGCAAGTGTTGCTTTAAGTGTGATTAAGAAATTAGTAAAGCTTTGGTGTATCTTTGAAGCATTTCATAAGATATGTTAACTTAACATATTGGTAGTAGAAGAGAATGCAGTAGATGACATGTGCTTGTAGCATAGTTTCTTGGATGATGTTGACTACCTTGCATTTCAACATATCCATTGCATTCATCTCCTTCGATGCACCGTTTGCATAATCACTTACGCGCATTGCATCATACAGGATCGCAAACCGAGAACCCAGTCGTCACACCCGAGGAGCCCGAGGAGCAGCTCGAGGTGTAGCAGCAGGAAGTGCCAGAAGCCGACGAGGAGGACGTTGAGGAACTTCCGGAGTGCCCCGATCACCGTCCGAGCTCCTTCGAGAGAGGCAAGCCTCGGAGCATCTTTCTCCCGGTTTGCAATGATTTCATTAAATGCTTTACTTTAAATTGATGCATTACGTTCAGGAGTTGTTTGCAACCGTTGCTGCATTATACCTTGTTTACCTTTGTTATACTATATCCTTGTTACCCTGGTATCCGCAGTCGAGTCAATGCTTAGCTGGCTTAGACCGGTAGAAGTCGGGTGATTTCCTGTCACCTGCGAGCTATAGGTGGTTACCTGGATCTGCTTGGATGGCTATGAAGTCATGGTATAACTAAGTGTTAAATGAAGTTGAGACCGGGCGGAGACTTGTAGAGTTTTGGACTGTAGTGTTTCCGTCTGTGTCGATTAAGGACCGACCGTTGTTGGGCCTCGAGTCATGTTGAACGCATGCCTTACATTTAGCTGGCCGGATAAAGTACCTTCCGACCGTGAAGCTGGGAGATTTTTCGGGCCGAGTAGATTGCCCGCAGCGCACTGTGCCGAAGCAGGTGTGGTAGGACACGGGGGCGGGATGATAAGACCAAAGTGCAGTCGGTCGGCCCCCGGGTACATGTGGTTCCTGGCAAACTCGAGATACCTGGAAAGTTGACTCGGTGATCAATATCTCACTTTAGCGGGTGAGTGAGATTTATGTAAGGAATAAATCACCAGCTGGTTAGGAATCGATTCGAATCGCCATCGCTCCTGGATAGTGAGCACTTGACTTGAGTTACTTCATCGTAGTAAATGTTTATGGAACACTTGGACAGTTATAGTGAATATGACAGTATGAAAGTTGTTTAATGATCAGTGGTTATCATTAATTGCTTAATCACATGTTTACTCTAGTATAGATGCAAATCTAGTCGATAGGTTAATAATAATTAAGTTGACAATAATGCTTTTAGAAAAGTTATGGAAATGCTAAAAATGCTTCTTTTGTAAATGAGTCAGCTACCCTACTATAAAGCCTTCATAATCCTTGGTGTCATTTATTTTCGGTTATGTCGGGTAAGTCTAGCTGAGTACCTTCTCGTACTCAGGGTTTTATTCCCACTTGTTGCAGATGGGCAGATGTATTACGGCTACTGTATCAACTGCCTGTATCCTGCAATGGGTGATGCTTAGGACCATGGGCATGGTCATTCCTTACGTCTCATCTAATGCTTTTGTTGGAGATGATCATTCGCTGGCACTATATTTAAACTCCGCGTGAGTGTGTGTGTGGTTTGAACAAATGACTTCTGCTACTTTTATTCGAACTGGTTTTGTAATAACTATGTTGAAACTCTGATGTATCTGAGATTGCAAACTTTTATGTAATATGTGATGGTGACCGCTAAACTTATTACGATCATGACTGGGACACGAGTTGGTTTGAAATCCTTTGCGATTTCACGGACTACCGGGTTATACGGGCTTAAGTTTGCTCAATCGTCTGCTCTGGTGGATGATTTTCTTACTTAATTTCGTATAATTGGTCGGTTCTGTTACAATCGGACTGTTCGCCGGTCGCTTCTACTCAATGCTCACTTCGCCGCCGACCAGTTGACTAGACTGTTCATCGCTCGTGCTTCATCGCTAGCTACGCCGGGGGCTCCTCGGTGCTCGGACATCGCCAGCTACGTCGGTTACTCCTCGGCGCTCGAATTCTTCGTGCTCGGGGACTAAGTGGACACACTTCACCCCACTTCACCTTGCGGACATCGCCAGCTACGCCGTGGACTCCTTGGTGCTCGGACATCGCCAGCTACATCGGGGACTCCTCGGTGCTCGGACGTCGCCAGCTACGCCGGGGACTCCTCGGCGCTCGGACATCGCCAGCTTCGCCAGGAACTCCTCGATGCTCGGACGTCGCCAACTACGCCGGGGACTCCTCGGCGCTCGGACATCGCCAGCTACGTCGGAAACTCCTCGGTGCTCGGACATCACCCTTGGTGGTCGGATCTTGCTACGTCGCATCGGTGTGCTATCAAGCTGCTCCACGCTGTTCGGATCAGGGTGCTGATCTTGGGCAGCACGTCTGGGGTCTTGATACGCGCATGTCAGATGACGTCGGCAAAGCTTTCAGACTTCTTTTTCTTTGACCCTGCTACAAGATTCATTCTTTATCTTCCAGCAGGCTCGGGGACTAAATGGGCACACTTCACTTTACGATGAATGTGCGTTTTTCACATCTCGAGGCTACGCCCGGGAACTGGCTGCCTGCTCGGCTAGTCTTCTACTTTCTGACCCTGGCACTACGTGACTACGTCACCTAATATCAGGCTCGGGGACTAGCTGTGGGGGTACGGCCCCCGGTATCCACAAGACAAGACATGGGCCGCACCATTAGAGGTAGCCCAGCCCACAAGATCAAGGCGTGCACGGCGCTGCTCGACGTGCATCACAAGATATTGTATAGTACCAAATATGATATTTTCCTTATAACCCTACCCCTCCAGAGTATATAAGGAGAGGTAAGGGTCCCCTACTCGACATCTCAATGTAATACATCAAAACACAGGATGTAGGTATTATGTCATACTGACGGCCGAACATGTCTAAATCTCGTGTCTTGGTGCTTGTATTACCATCTCGCTCCTGATCTCGCTCACCTCTACGACAAATCTACCATCGTGGGATAACCCTTGGTGGACTGCCGAGCATCTTTTGTCGACAATGTCATATGACACAAATATCAATTTATCACCATCTTGTTAATGCGGCGCTGACGAAATGTAGGCTCAAATGCAAAATTAGAACACATCAAATACCTATGCCTATGCGTGTCCTTTTCATCGGACTTGGCTACCTTATAAGGATCGCCGCAAAAGCGCATAGGCACTGGAACACCACTAGGGAGAGGCAATGGGTCAAAGGCATTTCCGATCATCCGGCCATAACTACAATTCAACCAATTTTGTTCTAAGAACTGAAAGCAATTAGCATTAAACCCTAAACCTAGGGTTTACCATTTGATGCACAATAATAAATCCATAACATAACAACATGCGTTGAGGTTACCTTGGTTTGCTAGCTTTTCCATGCCTTGGCATCCTACGGTTGTATAATACAAATATTAAAAATTACATGAAATCCTCAGTAATGACGATTCTTAGGTTGAAAAATCCGACTAATATATGCCGAATTGATGCGAAAAAAAACCAGGAGGGGAGCGAGGATACCTTGCTCTCGAAGATCTATGGATCAAATCAAAGTTTCCAATATCCAATATGCCGATTTGTGAGGTAGGGCGAAATGGGGAGAGAAAAAACCCGAGAGGGAGGAGAAAGAAGAGGAGGAAGGTTGGGGGCGGGGTTAAAACACCACCTCGGCGCCATAGATCCTGACGCCAAGATCTATGACGCCAGGCTCGGCGCCATGATCTACGGCGCCAAGCTCGGCGCCAGGATCTACGGCGTCGAGCTGCCTGCCAAGTCACCGCCACGTCTGCGTCGAGCCCAAGACCTCGGCGCCAGCAACGATGGCGTCGAGAAGTGTAAGCTCGGCACCAGCAATAAGGGGCCAGATTTTGAAATCTTACCTCCAGAGGCATATTTGTGAAATTTTTTCAAAAAATAGCTAAAAATAAAAAATTCGGTATTGGAGACTATATTATGTATGTTCGTACTTATAATTTGCGGTTATGTATTTGGACGATTATAAAAGATCTAATTTGTGTGATTATTTAGACGAATTGCGGTTTGAGGATTTAGTTTTCTCAATAATTGCATCATCATATATGTACTAATTCGATTTAAAATTGGACTCCATACCGGAGATTTGAGCCGTTTCCATTTGATTCCTCTCCTCTCCTCAGCTGTCCTGTCCATTCGGACTTTCGGAAAGTGAGCTAGCTCGGCTCGGCTTTGTGAAACCAGTAGGAGTGCTCCATACATATACTCGTAGTAAGCAAGCAAACAAGGGCACCGCAAGTATCGTGCTCTGCTCGATAACTCTCTCAACACAAGTCCAACAAGCCCTTGCTTCCTGTTATATTAGTTAGTTATTAGCTAGAGTGCAGAGTGCAGAGTGCAAAGTGCGTGCGATCTCATCCATCTCCACGACTCGTCGACTCCACACCATATATATATACATATATATACAGCAAGAAGCAGCAGCAGCATACCGCGCGTAACAGATCGACATCAATCACGAGCTAGTAAGACTAGTGAGTGATCTGATCATCGCCATACATCCATCATATTCTTGCTGCCATGCATGCCAATGAGGTAAGCCATCGTCAGTGCTTCCTAATCCTGTCTTGAGCTTAATTAGACGACGTCGACACATCGAGGGATGCCCCTCGCCGGAGCCGCGACTCACCAGGAGACGGCCGCCGGGACACTACACCTCCACCAACACCTGCGACGACTCGCCGACGGCAACAAGCACCAGTACCACCAGGAGCTCGTCCTCGGCCCCTTCGCCCCAGCCCCACTGCAGGGACCACCAGCCTGCCCACCACGCTGTCTTCGCCCCTCGGCATCGGCGACGTGGCGGCCCTCGCCGGCGCCAACGCCAAGAGCGTCTCCCCGCCCCCGCCCGCATGGCCGGACGACGACGACGACACCGCCGCCGGGAGGGAGGACTGGGTCCACCACCTCCCGCCCCTTGACATGCACATGCCGCCGCTCGGCCTCGGCGCCGCAGAGGCCGCCGCCTGGGAGACCCACGCGCAACCTCCTGGCAGCCTCACCCTCTCGCAGTCGCAGGGCCACGACAGCACCTTCCTCGGCTGGATCATTGGCGGCGACGCCGACGACGTCGCCATGCCGGGCGTCATGGACGACCACCACTCCCACTCGGTTCTTCATGACCTCGACAACATACCCTCCTCCTCCTCCTCTTCCTCCGTGCTCCCGCCGTTCCAGCCCCACGTCGTCCACCACAGTTCGCAGGCCGCGTTCCCGCCCTTCGTCACGCCGCCCAAACTGCACCACAACCCCATGCCCGCGGTGCCAGCGTCTCCTCCCAAGCAGACGCCTCTCGCCGCCGGGCTCCTGAAACCCAAGCCGGAGGCGCCGGGGACCGACGACGCTGCCACGGCGGTGGACCAGCTCGCCGAGGCCGCCAGGCTTGCCGAAGCCGGCGACGTCTTCGGCGCCCGGGAGATACTGGCGCGGCTCAACTACCTGCTCCCGCCCGCCCACGCCGCCGGCGCGACGGCGACGCCACTGCTCCGCTCCGCCTTCTACTTCAAGGAGGCTCTGCGCGCTGCCCTCTCCACCACAACCACCTCCGCCGACGCCTCCTCGCCGGTGGACGTGCTCCTAAAGCTCGGCGCCTACAAGGCCTTCTCCGAGCTCTGCCCCGTGCTCCAGTTCACGCACTTCACCTGCGTCCAGGCCGTGCTCGACGAGCTCGGCGGCGCCGCCTGCATCCACGTGCTCGACTTCGACATCGGCGTAGGCGAGCAGTGGGCGTCGCTCATGCAGGAGCTGGCGCGCCGCCGCCCGGGCGCCACGCTCAAGGTCACCGCATTGGTGTCCACGGCGTCGCAGTCGCACCACCCGCTGGAGCTGCAGCTCGTCCACGAGAACCTGTCCAACTTCGCCGCCGACACCCGCGTCCCGTTCCAGCTGGCCTTCTTCAACCTCGACGCCATGGACCCCTCGGAGCTCCTCGCCATCACCGCAGGCGACGCGGTCGCCGTCCACCTCCCGGCCGGCTCGGTGCACGCCCCCGCGGTGCCATCCGTCCTTCACCTCGTCAGGCGCCTTGGCGCCAAGCTTGTCGTCTCCGTGGACCGCAGCTGTGACCGCGGCGAGCTGCTCTTCGCCGCGCACCTGTTCCAGGCGTTCCAGTCCTGCGTCTTCCTGCTCGAGTCCCTGGACGCCGTCGGCACGGCCGCCGACGTCGCCGCCAAGATCGAGCGCTTCTTGATCAAACCGAGGATCGAGAGGTGCGTGGCGGAGAGGTACCGCGCCGCCGCCGCGGGCGACAAGACGCCGCCCTGGCGGGCAATGCTCGCGTCGGCCGGCTTCGTGCCGGTGCAGGCAAGCAGCTTTGCGGAGGCGCAGGCGGAGTCGCTGCTCAAGAAGGTGCCCGTGCGGGGCTTCCGCGTCGAGAAGCGTGCCGGCTCGCTCGTCCTGCATTGGCAACGCGGAGAGCTGCTCTCCGTGTCCGCCTGGAGATGCTAGCACCTGGCTCGCCGGCCGCCGCCTCCGGAGGAGCACCGCCGTGCGTGGGAACAAGTTAGTAGGCTAGTTAGGACTAATGATCCTAACAATATTTCTGCTGCTGCATTGATCTGATCTGATCGTCCAAAATTACCCGCCATGTCAGTGTCACCTTGCTGGTCAATCTGCCTTGCCATGCTGCTTGATTTAAGTAGATTGTTTGGCCGATGCAAGGTCTGCTAGATCGGTAATTGTTGTTACCAGTGTATTTTAGTACTCATGTTCATGGTTTTCAACAAGGATCTCGATATATGCATGTATCTTAGATAGAATCCACAACCTTGCTCATGTTATTACACTCTTGTACAATCAAATGGTTATATGGTTTATGTGAAGTTCCTGATCATGAGATTCAGAACTATGTATGGAAACTAAGTTGTTTTGTACTCCTCTTTTTTTAATATATATATTTCAGTAACATTCTGTTTGCTCAAAAATAAAAGGATCTCTTTTGGACATAATTCACACAAAAAAATAGGGAGCCTTTCACAATCAAGAAAAAAAATGGGAACACGTTCAAAAGCCAAAAAAAATGTCATGAAGCTACGTTATGCTAGTTGGCTGCCTGTCTCATGGACTTTAATTGACTATTATGTCCAGATTTACTAATCCCCATCTGAATTTTTCAACCATGGTGGACTTGCAGAGGAAAGTTTGTAAATAAAAAGTTATAAGCGAGTTATAGACGCCGTCCTCTCTCTGTAACCAGCAGTTCTCTTTGCCAGTGGAATTCGTGGAAGACCCAATATTCTATAGAAGCCTAATTCCCACTGTCACTTCATTTTGACTAACATTTCCTACCTGCATAGGCTTCTAGAGTGACTTATCCTCTGTTGAGATCAATGCAGTAGTAGATCTACCGGTTTGGTGAGTTAGTTAAAACGATTACAAACTTGGTACTTTGATACTACAAAGTACTGATGCCATTTCAATCTTTCCAGTTACTTTGTAAACTATATATTATAACTACTAACTAACTATTCTGCCATATATTAACAGTGGAAACGTGCTATCAATTTATGAGTAGTGACTAGTGAGGCACAGCTTGTGCTTGGAACAAATCTCCGTGATCAGAGGGGTACCTTGAAATGCTTTCTCCTTGAAGAAAATCCAGACACCTGTAAAGCAGAATTACACGAGAAATGCATGTTTTTAAGAATAATGTTGTATATTAGAAGAACATTTCCAAGTTGACAATGGCAGAATGCAACAGGGATTTGGGAATAAAGTGGAACTGCAAGTTAAGAGACAAGCATAAAGCAATATAATCTTTTTTATTTGTGAGTTAGATTCTGATTTGCATTATACTGTCACCAGGGTGTGGCTGAACAACTAAGACTCTTATAGCTGCCGACAACTTCTAAAAAGTAAAAGTTTTGCATCCACGTGACTTGATATCCATTGTCACTCCATGATCAGATTTTATCATTTTTGAGCTATTCCTCGTAGCATAGCAAGTCGTCGGTTTTGCATCCGCATTCGCTACCGTTCTCATTCTCTCCAGTCATAATAAAATAATTTGGTATCTGTTTTTTTATGTTAATTCGGTATCTGTGAGTCTGTGACTACTTCAGTACTTGCAGCATCTTGCATACTGTTAATCAAGTTATCACCGTGTGCTTGGTTGGTTCCTATTACCAGTGTCAGGTTAGAAGAAAAAGAAAAGGAAAAATGCTAACACATAGTACCAAAGGACTAAGTATTCACTTGGAATATGATCATACAAGACTAATCAAGGATGACAGGTGTTCTATAGCTGATATCGTTCAGCTCAGAAATTCAGAATATGTTCTATAGCCGATATGGACCACAGGTGTTGTGTCAAGTGGCAACCATGCTCAAAGATGACAGCTTGAGTAGTGCAGTCCCTATCTTTTCCTCAGGCTCAGGGGGGAGGAAATACATATCATGACAGTGTTAGATTCTTGTTTTGAGTGGATAAGCGAGTAGTTTGTACAACAATCTTTTCCTTGGGGAATTTGTTTGCATGACAGTAGCTAGGGGGAGAATTGACGTCTAGCTAGCTGTTTATCCTGACAGACGGCGTGTTTAGTTCCACCCTAACTTCCAAAAAGTTGCTACAGTACCTGTCACATCGAATGTTTACGGCCTGTGTATGGAGCATTAAATGTAGACGAAAAGAAAAACTAATTGCACAGTTTTGTGGGAAATTGCGAGACGGACGTTTTGAGCCTAATTAGTCCATGTTTGAACACTATTTGGCAAATAAAAACGAAGGTGCTACAGTAGCCCTAAAATCCAAATTTTGCGAACTAAACAATGGCAGAATTTCTGGCTGCTGCAACATGAACCAAATCCTGTTTGTTCTGATGGGGATGCAGGGAATGGCAATCAGAATGTAAAGTGGCTGTGCTTTTACCTCAGTGGTGGCAAGCATCTACCCGTCTCATCATCAGCATTTTATTTAATTTGTGCAGCAAATCTGAGTACCCAATTCCTCCACGTTGGGACTGCATGATATACATGCTGCCTGGACGGCCCCTGATTCTGTCTGCAGGAGATAATAAGCCTAGTTGTTCTTTGCTCTCACTATATACTTTATTTATGGCCCCATTTTGGAATGTGAGGATTTTCATAGGATTCGTGCGGAGTTACAGGTTTCCGTTGAAATTTCCTCCCTATGAATATGAATAGGCCCTCTGGTTTGGTGATTATGACTATGAATAGGCCTCTAATTTGCAATTACAATGCTGATGCTGACATATATGAAATTACAATGTTAATGTGTTGGTTCACTACCCACAAATCCATATACTACATATGCATGTAACTGCAAAAGCAAGAAGAACATAAATTATGCCTCAGCCATCCACTCTGCATCCAATAGAAGCAACCCTAGGCACATGATTTAACCCCTATAGATCACTTGCAAACACAAGCATCTGCTGCTTTATTCCCTGCCCATCAGCCTCCCTTCAATTATATTATATATGTATGTACTTTAGAGTAGTTTAGAACAGGAGCAGTTAAAGCGCCATGAACCACTAGATCACAAAAGTAGAGCAATTTTTTAAAGGAAAAAAAAGGCATCAGGGAATCGATTCTCGCACGAGCGATGAGAAAGGTCATAACATATCACCATTATCTACCGCAAAGAAGAGGTTCTAAAGCTTGAGATGAAGTCAGTGCTACTACACTAGTAGTGGTATGTGGGCACCAACACAAGGAGTGCCGTCCTTGGAAAGGGCTAGAGATGCTTCTAAGGCCCTTAAAAAAACAAAGAAAAGAGGAGGTTGTCTTGTGTCATAGTGAAGCCGCCTCTGACGGAGAGGTTCACATATGCATTGCCCATAATTTTTCTCCTCCACTCTTTTCCCTATGTTACAGAGTACACAGCAAAGAAATGCAATGGCTAGTTACAAATTCAAATGAGGACCGGAAACAAGATATGAATACGAAGATAATTCTCTTATAGAAAAAAAACATGATTTCTAAGGGAAATTGTCGGCACCGAAATTCGTCTCGTGCCGGGCACACGAGCAAGCCGGAAGGGTCTGCTCGATGGAGCTGGAGATCCGCCTAGCTTCAACGCAGGGATGATCGATCCTGCGTACTCCTCCCGAGACGTGCCAGTCAATTTGACCCTGCAATTAACAAGGAGAGAAAGTTTATCAGTAATTTAAGGCGGAACATATCGGTCTGTGCCCAAACAGTTCCGAATATGCGGCTCTGAGAGCCGATATGGAAGAAGATCGACTAAATAGCCGATTCCAGCATACTCATAAGAATAAATCAGTTAAAGCTCATAGAATTATGGAAGAAAAAATCGGTTATCATTCAGGATGAATATTGTTATTTAGACGAATATTAGTTAGTGACAATAGGATATCAACACTAATCGGTTTATGCTAAGCCAATGACTGCAAGTAACTGAATTTCTTTTTATATAAAAGATTTCAAAACAGCTCATTATCATTTAACCATTTAATATAGATAAATCTAATGAACATACTAGATCTCATCTATCGCTATGACCAGTGGGGCATGAGGCAGAATCATGCAGACCGTAGAAACAATAAATTCGACGACCCTAACTTATTACTAATATCAGTGGAGCATGAGGCAGAATCATGCAGGCCGTAATACAATATTAAGATCATGGGGCTAACATATCTTTCAATCTACCATTACTTCAACGGTCTCGTGGCTTGAACTGTATATGTGAAAACACTCGATATCGGCTAAAACAGCCGATTCAGGCATAGCGCACAATTAAGATCGTGCCCTATCAGGAACAGATCTACCAAATAACGATTCCCGCTCCACGGTGCTAACAGTGGGGTGTGAGGCAGAATCACACAGGTCGTGATAACGGGCCATAGAACGGTTTTTGTTAGCCGATAGATCTATTCATGACCCGGCATGCCTTAACCGTACACTATGCACGATCAAGATTGATATAAAACAGCTGATAAAACCTAACTCATCGTTTAAGGTGCAGATTAGATCAGTTTAGATTAATAAACGATGGGTTAAACAGGATATAAAGTTGATCTAGATCAATCCCAATTGGACAAAGTGATATTGCTGTAATTAAATAAATAATAAAAATAATAAGCAATATCGGTAACTTAATGAATCTATCCGAAGAACGCCACCCTTAGATAGAGCCGATAACTTGACCTTAATCTAGTTCGAGCAGTGGAGGTCGACCGGATCGATGCAGCCATACTTGAACTAGACAAGAGTCGATAACTAACTTATAGCAGAATCGTAGTGGAGGTCGACCGGATCGATGCAGCCGTACGAATAGAAGTATAAGCCATGACGGTACTTACAGACAAGTCGGTGGTCGGCCAGAACGATACAGCCCTGCTCGCTGAACAACTCGTCGAGATCTACTCTACTCCTACTCCTAAGTGGTGGCTGGAGCCGAAAAAGTAAGTAACTTATATTTGATTGATTGTGTGTCTTTTACAGTAGCCGGGGTCCAATATTTA